TTGGTCCTGTATTCTGTGTTGTTCTTGGCAGAGCTCGTCACTACACTTCCACCCGATCTGCCATCTTTTTCCAGAAGATGGTGCTGTTGGTTTTTGCCCCAAAGAACTCCCTTTAGTATTTTTTATAAAGCTGGTCTAGTTATTACAAATTTAAAAAATATCTGTGTATCTAGAAATGTCCTAATTTTGCTGTCGTATTTTGGGGACACTTTTGCTGAATATATGTTTTTTGGTTGACATTTTTTTTTTCTCTCTCGGAGCTTTATATGCTTTTCCATTGCCTTCTTACCTGCATGCTTTCTGCTGAGGACTTAGAACTTACACTTACTGTTTCTCCAAGGTAGGTTACATTTTTTTTTTCTTTCTGAGCTACTCTCAGGATTCTTTATTTATCTCTGATTTTAGAGAGTTTGATTATGATATGTCTTGGTGACTTCCTTTTGAGGAGTCACTCCTGTTTGAGGTTCATTAAACATGAATGCTTCTCTTCTTTTCTTTCATGATTCTCCTGAATAGATAATATGTTGTTGTTAGGTACCATCGAGTTGGTGCCGACTCATAGCGACGTTAAACTGCAAAACAAAACACTGCCCAATCCTGGGCCAGCCTCACTGCTATTGCCACGCTTGAGTCCGTAGAGAACAAAACAAATCTATGAAAGTTTTCTTCTGACAAGTCTGTAATTTTCTGGAGTTTTTTTTTTTTTTTCTTCCCCTTTCTGTCTCTTTCTGTTGTGGAATTATGATCTTCCTTAAATTGTTCCTGTTGTGATGTCCCACATAAATATATGGTGCCCCACATAAATCTTAACTTCTTCAGATTTTTTCCCTTCTCTTTTACTGATTGTTCTTTTAGCATACTAGTATTGGGATATTTATCTTCAAGTTTACTAATTCAGATTTCCATTGATTCAAATCTACTCCTCTGCCCTTTCAATGTATTGTCCATTTCTGAAATCTTAGTATTGATTGAGGATTTCTTTGGCAGGTTTTATATTTTTTCAAAGTTTTCATTTATTTTGCCCATTTGCTCTAATACTGTTTTCTTGAATTCTTTTAAAACTTTTTATGTTCTTCAATCTCCCTGTCATTCTGTTAAAGTAATTACGTATCATTATTTTGAATTATTTTTCAGGTAGTTCTAATACCCTTTTTTCCTTTGATATGTTTTCTGACTCAGCATCTTAGTTATCTGTTTGAGCCACACTCTTGTTTCTAAATATGAATGGAAATTGTCTTTTGCTTCTGAGACATTGTAGTATCCACAAGGTCGGTGGTTCAAACCCATCAGCCACTCTTCAGAAAACTTATACAGCCTATCTATGTATGAGTCAGAACTGACACGACAGCACTTCATAATAACATCAGTAATCCGTTTTCCTGTCCTAGACATTATTCTCAGACATATTGTCTCTGTACTTTCATTGTATAGTTACAATAAGAAGTCAAAATTAACAGCAGTAGCATTTTATATCAAATCTCTGAAATAAATTTTTGGCTGGTATATTTATTAAACATTTTGTTGTTGTTAAGTTCTTTAGAGTTGTTTCCAATTCATAGTGACCCTGTGTAGGATTTTCAAGGAGTGACTGATGAGTTCGCACTGCTGACCTTGTAGTTATCAGTCCCGTGCTTATCCTACAGCACCACACCAGGACTCCTCTTGAAATGTGGTTAGTGTAAAGAGGGATGGTGTTGTACCTGGAGTAGAAATTGATTCTACAAGGTTATTTATAGAATAGTAAATACACCTGCCCTATTTTCAATTGTCTTTTAGGAACTGTGAGTATATATTCATGTGATGTTTTGGTAGTAAACAAGACAGACACCTCCCTTCCATCTTTACGTAAAGCAAGGAACAGAAAACATATCGTAATACGTTTAAGTTTGTGAGTGCTACTAACATAAATGGCACAGTACCGGTTGAATGATACAATCATAATCTAGTTTTACAAGTACCTCCTTTCCTAGACTGTTGGAAAGCTCCATGTACATACCTTAGACTTTTCCAGACAACGTCTGTCTGACTAAATTAAGTGCCATTGAGTTGGTCCTGACTGATAATGACTATATATATAGGGTTTCCGAGGAGTGTCTGGTAGGTTTGAACCCCTGACCTCATGTTTCAAACCAATTAGGTGGTCTAGTGCATTATACTTAAGGACTCCTCTGTGTTATTGTTAAGTGCCTTCAAACCTGTTTTGACTCATAGCAACCCTGTATGGGATTTCCAAGGAGAAGCTGGTGAGTTTGAAATTCCGACCTTGTGGTTCAAACTGACCTTGCAGTCCAGTGCTTTATCTCACAGCGCCACACCAGGACTCTATCTTAATAGAAGTCCTTAAAGGCGTCTTGTGGCCCATCTCTCCCTCCATCTCCTCTCTTAGCATCTGACCCAGTTCTTCTCAGCGATAGAAAAAGGTACATATTTTCCAGCCTCCTCTTGTAGTTACGTTTTTATCTGTCTTACACAATTATTCTCTACTGCTTTGATTTGTTTCTATTACAGTAGTTTATTTACTTAAAAATCATATATATTGATTCAATGACATCTAACAACAATGACATAAAATCACCACGTATTGCATTAGGCAGATCAGCTGCACAAGACCTTTTTAAAGTGTTGAAGAGCAAAGGTGTCAGCTT